TTTTGAATGTTTTTGTAAACTGATAATCATCTAAATTACAATATAGATTTACTTTTTTTCCGGTTTCTGTGAAACTTAACATTTGCAATATTTCTTCACTCACACGAGAACTTTTTGAACAAATGTAAGTCTCTCTACTGTCTGCTTTAGACATGTTTCTGTACATATTTTTATTTATTTTATTCTGACCAACATGGACGAAACCGGTTGTTATTTTGAAGAACAATATAAATGTGAATAGAAGAGAAGTTATAAATAATAAGTATTTAAATTATATTTAAATCATTTTGTTTTGTTTATAAATCGTAAACTAAACGATGCAGACAACTGTGACACGTCTTATATTGAAGAAAAAACTGTTATGAACATTTTAAAACGTGTCTCAGTTCTGTAACATGTCTCGTTTTAAAGATCTGATACAAATAGTGGCAACTACTTTTCGCACATTTAAACTTTGTAGAATTGAACAGTAGTTGTATCAGATCTTTATAACGAGACATGTTACAGGACTGAGATACGTTTTAAAATGTTCATAACAGTTTTTTCTTCAATGTAAGACGTGTCACAGTTATCTACATCGTTTAGTTTACGATTTATAAACAAAACAAAATAATGAACAAATCATTACGGAATTCCTTTACGGTAGCAGAGTTAACTGTTCACACCACTAAGAAAAAAAGTTTCGAGACAAATTGAGACTAAACTGTTATAATAGTGGTGTGTAAGTTCACCGTAGTATATTGTTGACATTTTATAAATATATAAATAGGAAAAAAGAGTAACCTTTTTTATTTTGAAGAACTATAAGTACAAATAGCATGTAAACTAGACAATTTACTTTCACTCTTTGATCTCTTCAGGACAAAATTTTTTTTTAAAACAATTATATGTAAAAAATGAATGCATTGCTTCCAAGAGAAGAAAACTTTATTGATGATTTAAAAGTTACATTTAACAAAGATGTTTCATTAATAGCATAAAACAGAAGATACATCATGAATTTCTTAATTGTCAGGTTAGTAATAAAATAAAAATGGATTCTATTCTATTTTCTTCTATTATTCGAATATATTCAAGCGGCATGACAATAAATAAAAAGAATTCATAATATTTCTGTCATGACATTGTTGTTTTTGGTTTTCGAACTTGTTTTATTCTCTATGTCTTATATGATTAAATATTGTTGCCAAACGGGTTGTCAATAACAGACTGTCATTTTTTTTTTTTTGTTGTTGTTATTGACCTATTACTCCTACATATCCGCGTATCGTAGTACTAAAAATAGTCTCGTGGTCTTTTTTTTTTTTGTATGTTCTCAAATCTATTTAACATTAAAGTATTTTCGTCAATTATTTTTTAGATTAGAACATCAATTTATAAATTAAAATGGTGTAACGAGCAACAATTCTCATAATTAATAGAATAATGACAACACCTTCTTCACTATCGTTCATCCATGTTTCAATTGTAAGTAAATCAGAACAATTTATTATTATTATTATTTGTTTTCTTCTTATTCTCTAAGTCTAAATAAAGTAGATTAATCACAACTATAAAATAATATTCCATTTCTCATGTAAACTATAGTCATACACTTTAAGAATTTAATCATGATGTTAGTCTCGATATGACTTAGCTAAAAATTATATAGAAAAAAAAAAAAGAAAATGAGAAAAAAAATAATTGAAAACATGTAGATACTATCTGAGTATTAGTACACCATATTCACTATAATTATTCTTACTTATTTATAGTAACAGTTTAAAATCTTTTAAGCTCATTTCGATATATAAATATTTGAATTTTTTGAAATGAATCAACAAATACATTTATTATGTCAGATAAATACCTCTAATTTGATCAAAATATTATCTATTGTAACATCTGTAAATAGATAGTTATTAAAACATTTTTTATTTTTTCTATTGAATGTTACACTGTCTATAAACAAGTATATCTTTCATGTTCTCCAGAGACAATGACAGGATATTATACCGGCATTTATTTTTAGAATGATTAAAACACACACACACACATATATATATATATATATCACTATTTTACTCTAGGTATAAAAGTCAGAGCTCAAGTTTGTTTAGAATAATTGAAAAACAACAACAACGAACGTCTAGTCTTAACAGATGTTTAAAAGGGCACTTCCCTAGTGAAGATATGTTTTTTTTCTTCAAAATTCAACCTATTCACGTCTATGGTTCTCCAATGATAAGATATTTTTAGGAATAATTTGAGATTTTTTTTACCTATACAAAATGTTGAGTCTCAATTTTTTTTTTTTTTTTTGTAAAAGAAAACTAGTTCAATTAAGAATTGTAAAGTTAATTTATTATATCGATGAGAAGATTTATTTTAAATAAGTCTAACCTAATTCGATCAATTTTAAAATATTGATCGGAATACAAGTTACAAAAAAAAAAAAAAAAAAGATATTTTTAGATTCTATGATTTGTTGAGTTTGAGATTCATATCGAAGAAGTGAGAAAAAGAGAAACATGCAAAATACAGAAATACAAGATCAAAATATTTTTTACTGTAATACTTTTTTTTTCCGACTTTTGTTTTTTTTCTTTTTTTGAGTCTTAAGTAATGATGCTTCATATTTGGAATAAGTTAAAAGCGAAATCAACGATATCATTGATAAGTAATTGAATTGTTAGAAAAAAAAATTGTATTTCTTAAAATTTTTTCACATCGAACAAATTTTCTTATACGATTTTATATTATTTCTTCAACAATGTTTATTTTATAATTAAATTTTTTATTAACTAAAATCGGGTATTTTACATCAATCTACACAATCATATTACTATAAATGTATATGTGCGTATGTTAGTATTTTTACTGTGTAAAAAAATTTCCATCTTTGTGTCGTGGATGAATGAGTATATATTCCAGAATGAAGGAAGAAATAAGAAGAAAAAGAAGGGAAAAAATAAACTACTGTGCACTTTTTTTGTTTCTTCTTATAAAAACTAACATTGACTTTTTTGGATCATATAGTACTGTTTATCAATTAAGTATGAGTATCATAAATATCTGTTGTTGATTGACATTTCTATTTGATTAGTTAAATTTTGTAAACACAAGAAATTAAAATCAAAACAAATTTTTAGTTTTTTTTTTGTAATAGAATCACATTATAATTCAACAAAGAACAACTACTTAAATTATTATGCGTTTTTAGTTTCTTTTATCCACTATTTTAACAGAATATAAGTGAAATAACTGTAAGAAAGTTTCTCTTCATGAACAAACAAATATTTCTAAAAAAAAAAAAACATATTTGAAATAAAAATACAAAAAAAATGTTCTACTTTTTTTTCTTCTTTGAAATTTTTTCCGCCCTTTAGATATTTAAAAGTGACAACCCTGATTCGGAAATCTATTGTTAAATCATGTTAACCTGCTGTTCTTCCTCTCTTACAACACTCAACATTATAGAATATCCAAGTGAAGTGAAAAAAAAAAACTAAAATTTGTTTTTTCTTTTAATATGCAAATAATAATATATAATCTACTTTTCCTTTTAAAACTGTTTTTTTTTTTTCTTTTTTCAATTTTTCCCTATCATTAGTATATCATCATTAGTAGATAATTCTTTGATCACGTCTATCTTTAATTAGAATTATATATCTTATCTACTTAGCTAAAAACGTAAAAAAAAAGATTAAAAAAAGAAAGAAGGAAGGAGAAGATCTAAGAGAGACATTTATTGTTTATTATTAAAGAGAGATCGAGATATAAAAATAAGTTTTTTCTTTTGTTTATATTAAAGTATGAAAGAAACACGCACAAAAAAAAAAAATAGTACAAAAAGAAAAAAAAAAATTAATTCTTTTAGATATACATCACATCAGTTACTGATTTTATTCTTTAAAAATAAGTATAATGTTAAGACAAACATTAATATTCAAAAATCTTCATTTTACATAGACTATTTAAAACATGTGAAATACTAGATCATTCTAGGTAAGATTGAATAATTTACCGTACAACAACTGGCTTTTTTGCATAATATAAGTGATAGAAATAGTAGAAATAAACTCATCTTTATTCACATTATAGTAAATATCTTTTATTTGCGAGTAATGTGTTACCCCTTAAGAAATCATTCACTATAAGTGATAGTTATTTTGCAGTAGTAGATTAATTAATTATAAATTCTTTTTTTCATCTGTTGAAAATAAAAATAATTCATAACTATAAACATCAAAGAAGTTAATTTATTACCATTCTTAAAATTTTTGATTTCATATTTTAATAAGAAGAATTTTATTTTTTTTTTCTATATATCAAACAAACTACTATCCATTTCTAAAAAAAAAATAGAATTGATTATACTGTATTTTGAATATGTTTTTGAACAAAAATAAATAGAGATGCTCAGTTTTCTTTGTTCGGTAGAGAAGAACACGAGGTATGTTGTCGTGAAATAATGTCAATAAATTTCAAACTACTTTTTGAATGTCGAGTTTTGAGAGATACATCAGTCTCGGCATGCACCAGTTATATAACTGATGTTAGGGGAAAATGTTATAACACGGTTATTAAGAATTGTTCAGACTTGTGGAACGTCTCATTTTGTAGCGAAATATTTGTTCTATGTATTGGTTAAAATAAAAGAAGTTTAAAGTTAACTGTGACAAAAATAAGAGCATTCGTAAATGCCATAACTGTACATGATAACTGATTATCAGTTATATAAGCTTCTTCAGTAATTCGTTAGAAACGCTTCTCTTTTCCAACCTTTAATTTTATCTTCCATACAAATACATAAAACAAACATTTCTCTACAAAAAAAGGCATTCTGCAAGTCTGAGTGATTCTTAATAATCGTGTTATAACAAGTTTCCGGGATACCTGAAAAATCAGTCGCAAATAACCGGTGTATCAGTCTACTTTTCCAGAAAAATAATTACAATGCAGCTTTTTACACAAGAAGATAGACCGAAGTGTCATCTTCAAAACAAGAGGCAAATGAGATGTTAGTATTCAGTGGTTCAGGTGTAGAGACCTGCAATACGATCCGAAGTCGGATTCGAATTTGATTACGAAATCTGTTCGATTTGAAATTTTCTTCAATGACAGTTTCTTCTTCTTTTTATAAAATGTTCAATACTAGAGCTAATCAATTTTAAGCGTTCTTTTAGAAAACAAATAGGAAACAGCAATTCCACAAGCATTTTATGACTTTTTACGTCTCAAAGCTCAAATTTTTAACTAACTATCGGACCGGATTCGGGCTTGATAAGTTTAACCCGCGTAGTACTCTTTTCGAGTGTAATATAATTAAATAAATATATTATATAAATATAAATTTGCTTGGAGCCCACGAAATTGATACGTAGGTTGAAGTGATCTTGAAATCACAATGGAGATAGTAATCTACTAATGAATTTCTTAATCTTAGATGAAACTACCTTGAAACACTAATTTTCATAAAACATGATTTTCACCTGGTATATTTAAATGTTTTTATAAAAACAAACATTATCATCAAATTTGGCGTGATTAATTACTATCTAATGATTACTATCGTAAAGAACTCTTAGAATGACGAGACGATTGTAGTGGAATTTTACGAATGACAGATGTAAACGTGTAAATGTATAAGAATTAACTTAGCAAAATATGATCTAGATAGTGAAAAGCGTACTCTAGTAATATTCACAACTAAACAGTTCATAGACTTTCTCTCTCTCACTCTTTGTCACTCTCACACATATTGCTACATTATTTAATTTTTTATTTCTCTATATGATTTTCTAAAAATAACTTTCATCATCCTTCTTTCTTTTTTTTTCGTTGTTGTTGTTCAATGAACAGAACCAAGGAAATCGAAAAAATGATCTTCAAGATAATATAAATGAATGAAGAGAGTAAGAAAAATACGAAATAAGTCAACATAAAACAATAAATCAGCTTATTTTATATTATTATAAGTCGACTAAGAATAAAGTCTTTATTCATGTGTAGTAATTGTTCTCGTATTCTTCTTATACTCGCCTATCATAATTAATTTGTCTGTGTTGTTTTTTTTTCTTTTTCTGAAGGAAACTAATTATAAGATATGGATTATTCCACAAAAAAATAAAACAACGATCACAACAAATAGTGAAGTTTTCTCCAGTGAACAACATCCAATATCAAATATTATGTGGTTCAGATTTTTACTTATTATTGGTAAGAATAGATTTAAATTTTATTAAATTCTAAAATATTTTATTGAAAAGGAAGACGAAAAATCATACCATGTCAAAAATTCAATTTATTCTGATATACGAACATAATAAATTAAGTATAGATTGTCAAAAAATAGAAAATTTATTTTAAAAATATACTTTTGATTATAGTAGATGTTTTATATTTTTCAACGGTCATTTTATATAGCTTTCATAAGGTTATAGCTATCCTTCACAAAAACTAGTATGTAACAGTAGAATATATATCTGAGAAATATACTTTCTCTATTTTTATTATGACAGAACAAACGAAAGATTTTTTAAAGATTGTCACATCGTAATAGATAATAAAAAAACAACAATAACAACACATCTCTATTCTAGTGCTTATTTATCCGTGATATAATTATTTTCTAAATGGATACTAATTAAATTCATTAATAAAGTTGAGATAAATATATACAAATATATTTTTCTATTCTATTTTGATTTGAAGTTTATTTTATTTTATTTTTATTTTTATTTTAGTTATATTTGTGACAGCAGCCGGAAATATACTGGTTTGTTTGGCTATTGCACGAGAACGAAAATTACAAAATACAACAAATTATTTTTTAATGTCACTTGCTATTGCTGATTGTATGGTTGCCCTTCTAGTTATGCCAATGGGAATGATTGCAGAAGCATTCGGTAGATTATTTAAATAAAAAAAAAATACCACGCACGATATTGTTTTTCTTCCTCTCCTTCTTCTCCAGTCCATTAAGTTAATTTATTTGATCATCTTTTTCATTACTGAATTAACTCAAATAAAAGAAATAACGACAGAATCTAATAAAAACTAGCAATATTTTTTGAGAAAATATTGATTTAACTTATAAAGAAAATATCTGTAAATCAAGAACTCTTATACTATTTTTTTTTTTTTGCTCATTTAAGGTCATTTTCCTTTACCACATTATTGTTGTGTTATATTTGCTACTGCTGATGTATTATGTTGTACATCATCAATATGGCATATGTCAACAATGTCAATGGATCGTTATTTTACTATACGTTTTCCATTTCGTTATGGTCGTAATAAAACAAAACGTATTATGTTATTAAAAATTATTGCTGTTTGGGCTATTTCATTAGCCATATCGTCACCTATATTCGTTTTAGGCATTGTTGATCGTCGCAATGTACTTATTAATGGTATATGTGCACCAAATAATGCTACTTTTAAAGTTATTGGCGGTGTATTTGCATTTTATATTCCATTTATTATTATGATTGTTACTTATGCATTGACAATGCGTTCATTAAGAAACGTTTTAGTTCATAAACGGCGTTATAATAGAGAACGTCGTCGTGATCAAACATTTCGTCCATTAGCCACGATTATAAATCAATATGCTGAAATAGCACATGAATTACGTAAAACAGGTAGAACAACGACAACAACAACAAAGACAGTTGTTAAAAAAATTCCATATGCAATAATTACTACGACAACAGCGTCACCAATCGATAAAAATCATCAATTTTTTTTCTCATCAAATGGGACATTATTGATGGATCAAAAAAATGATACAAATCGATATGGTTCATTTACAACAAGCAATGGTCAAGTAGTAAATATATCTCCAACATATATGAAACCATCAGATCACGAAACAAATCATTTAACAATTGCTTATATTAAACATCATTCAAAGAAAAAACAATACGATGTTATGCAAAGAAAAGATTGTGATATGAGTACTGTTTATGAAATGACAGAATATTCAAAATCATCATCAAGCAGCGATTATAGACTTGCAACATCCTCATGTGTTCATCAACGTCGATCAGTTGTTATTGTTGATCAAACATCAACTCATCCATGTGAACAACAATCATATAGTGAAAGTCAAAATAAGGAAGAACAAAAAATAGAATTTTTAAATACAAATCAATTGAAAGAAGTTGCTATTATAGAAAATCAAATTTCAGAAGTTGTTAAAGAAGAATCAGACGGTAAATAAGTATTCTAACATACTCAGAAAATCTATTAAAATGATTCTCTATGCCCAACCATTTATTTAAGGAGTATTTTGAGTACTCGAAAATACGCTTTCGATGGGTCCTAGAAAAATGAGACTTCGAACCCTCGATATAAGCGTTCGAGGGGTTATCGAATTCGAACCTTCTCGGGTTTCAGATACGTAGCAAGCCGTCGAACAGAGATATTCGGGACCCAAGCAGACGAAAAGACTTCCGAGCCCTCGTCGGATTCTCGAGCGATGAGGACTCGGAAGTTACGAGCATCTCTGTTCGACAGCTCGGACTTTCTCGAGGGCACGCTGCCTATCTGAAACCCGAGGGCCCGAAACCGATAACTCCTCGAACGTTTATCTCAAGAGTCCGACAGTATTTTTCAAGAGATCGAGTCCTCGCGACGAGGGCCCATTTTCAAATACTCGTCACATCCCTCGAGCGACTTTTCTCGTCTGCACGGGTGAGTTGTAGCAAAATTCAAGGTAAATAGAGGGATCATTAGAAGAATTCCCTAATGAGAAAAACAATATTTTATACTACTGTGAAAATGTGTACAAGAAAACGAATACGGTAATCAATCAGTTGAACTTCTATTCAAAAATTCTCGCGACGCATTTATCAACACTGTGTTGTATCTTTTAATCGCGAAAAATAATTATATAGTTAAAGGATTTATAAGCAACATAACAGTCATAACTTAAAAATCAACGTTTCTGATATATGAGGATACAGTACCTCTACTATACACGCTAATATTTGTCTTACTGTATTACAATAGGTTCAAAAATATTGTTTCTGCTTTCTCCTAGATGATCTACCAATTGTTGTACAATCTGATACTAACATCAATACGACGTTACAATCATTAGAAAACACCACTAATAATTCTGTTTGTTTACCCAAAACATCCCATTCAATCGAGGAATGTTTTAACTTTGTTATTCGGTTAGCTGAACTTATTTATCGATATTATTATGTGAACAATCACTTTCAGTCTGCTCAAAAGCAATTAGAATATAGAAACTTTTTACCAATTGAATATTCTTCACATCATACAGGTATTGTCAAAACTAGTCCAATATTACCATGGTCAGATACAGTTTTACAACCTAATAATCCATCCTCAAATATTTATCAAGGTGTAGTAGAAATCGATGCTACATGTGTTAATAATACTCAAACTATTTGCCCCACATTGTTGATATCGACCGTTCCGTCTAAAACACAACCAAATCGAATATTATCAACAAATAATTATACATGTAATAATGACAAATTAGATGTTGCTAAACATTACCAGTCAACATCAGTAACAACATCCATGACATGTTTAATAGAAAATAAGCAGACAACGTCCGTCTCAACACAAACAGATAATTATCCGTCCATTCCAAAGTCAATTAGTAGTTTTAGTGAGAAAAATCATGATCAACACAATGTAATGTCGAATAGAACAAAAAGAGCATTTTCATTTTCAAAACGTTTTCTTTGTACATCATTGTCAACCGCGACACCGACACGTTCACAATCGGAGGATGAACATGCAGCTGCTCATGTTCATTCAAATTCATTATTTACAAATTTTTTTCGACATCATAAACCAAAACGATCAATCAGTAATACAGGTACAGGATCTGGCGCAGGTAATAGTTCTACAAAATCTTCGTTATCATGGGGACAACATTCATTATCATCATATAATCAACAAAAATCAGCAGCTGTACCCCACCATCATTCATCATTATTAAGACAAATCGAATGTGAAATGGATTCTGTATTAGCACAACAACGGTCACGGGGATCATCTGCATCGAGTATATTCTTTAATAATAAACTTCATCACAAGAAACGAAGAGATAAGAAAAGATCCGTTATTCTATCTAATATTCATAATAGTACTAGTGGAAATAGTCTTAGACAACAACAAATTCATTCCAGTTCTACATCATCATCCACGTTTAATAGTGATACATCAAATTCTCGTATATCTCGTTTCCTCACTTCTCAACGTCAGCAACAACATCATTTTCAACAACAACAACAAGAAAAAATTGTTGCACAAAATGAACGAAAAGCATTACGTGTATTGTTAATTATATTTTGTGTTTTTGTTACGTTATGGACACCTTTTTTTATTTGTACATTTATATCAGCTGTATGTGAAAAATGTCGAGAAAAAATTCCATCAATATTATGGTTTTGGATAACATGGCTTGGTTATACATCTTCAATGGCTAATCCTGTTGTGTATACAATATTTAGTGATACATTTCGAAGAGCATTTTGTAATCTTTTACGTTGTCGATCAAGTGATTCATTATTTGCTAATCAATTATCGACAAAATTATCTTTTCAAAAAGGCGCAATCATTCGTCGTCCTAATGGAACTGGTGGTTGTTCAGGTACATCAACACCAATAGGAAGAGAAAGAGAACGAAATAACAATCAGGATGCAACAATTTATGTGAACAAATACAATCATGATGCAATAAGATAAAAAAATCTCTGTTATTTCTTGATTGTGTTGTTGTTGTTGTTTTTTCTTGTTTAATTAATAAAAGAACATATCAATAAACGTTGTTATTGAAAATAACATCAATTATTACCATGTTTATTTTTTTTTTTGTAATTTGTCGGACTTTAGTTTAATTTAGAAAAGAAAACACGGTACTAATAGAACTTCTGTATTCTGACATTTATTAGATAATACTTTTTGTTGTAATTTTATTTTCATCTACTTTCTTATAAAAAATGTCTGTACTGTTTGTCATTTAATACTTTTTTTATTATCTGTGTAAAAATAGTAACTTATGTTTAAAGACAAATGGACTACGGTAAGATATCAAAATTTTAACAACAATATTATTATGATTTAAATTTCTACGTGTAATAAAAAGAAAATTAGAAACTACTAAAGCATACCCTATTTCTTGTAACATTTCAATTAATTGTTGTTTTTGTTCTGGCAACATTCTAGCGAATACTGTTCCACGTACTACTAACTATAAGATGAAAACAATTTCAAATTTAGTCATACAGCAGATCAAATTTTTTCATGTTGGAGAACATTCTGCGCTTTCTATTTTGTGTTCGTTACTCATTAAATTAAACATTTTGACGAATACTATTAAGTTAATCTTATAGTTTTGTTGTCAAGACCTTATTTTTATTAGAGCACATATCGGCAGAATTTCTTTTATTAAATACACGTGATGAATACATACTCGTTGAAATAATTCAGGATATTCATTTCGTATAACATTAAACGACTTGCCGGAAATGGCAAAATGAAACATAGAACTGTGATCAAGTTCAATAACTTTATGTGACTGATATGAAAAAAAAATATTATTGATACACTGAAACGATAAGTAGATAAACATTTCTACGTACATTTATGTCATATCGAACTTCTTTAACGCGTTTATTATAAATTTGTGCATAGGAAAATACCGGTACTTGTCCATCTATTTCAGCCTCAATAACAATCACTTTTTGATTGTCTTCAATCATATTACAATCATGTGCAACACTCATTGCCGTTAGAAGATTGTCACCTAAATGTTAGAAAATAAAAATGAATACAAAAAATTTAAAACGGTGATCTCTATTTCATTCACCTGTACACATAATAGTACGAATGTTAGCATCTTTCAAAATTTTTAATACACCTTTGGTCTCTGGTTTTAATCGATTTTCCATAATAACTAATCCAAGAAAAATGAGATCATTTTCAATTTTTTCTCTATAATCAAAGAAAAATAAAGGATTTTAGTTATGTGTGTATCATTACAGAACGTTCTACCTTTCCATACGTTGAATTTTGACATAATTTAAATCAATTGTTTTATAAGCTAAGGCTAGGACACGAAAACCTCGTTCAGCAAATGATGACAAAACGTTATTGAAATTTTTAGGAACTAAAATAATGGAAAAAAATACAAAATACTTGTTTGTTTCTTAGTCCTCACACTATTTCTATACATACTCGTTTCTGCTCGAGATAATTCGGCAATTTTTTCTGGACTACCTTTCGTTAATACATCAAATGACTCTTTTGCTAACAGACGAACAATAACACTTGATCGTTGTAAACTTGAACTAAATGGAAATTGGCGAACAATGCCAATTTCAAATGGAATATCCTATATACCAATAAAGGATAGATGCATTAGATTCAAGTTCTAAAGATTTGACAATTAGACACTTACACCAGCAATGAGATTACTAATAGAACTTGATAATGAGTGTTCTGATGTACCAATATTTATTTGATTTATTGGTCTGACTATCGTCGGACAGAGAATATCAAAATTGGATTGTTCAGTGACAGCCGGTTCATAAACTTCAAATTGTGTAAATGCTAACATTTTTAAATCGAGTGGATCACCAACTAGTATTCCATCTATCCTCGTTAGTGTATGACAAGCTGAAATCATAGTTCACTCATTTCTTCAATTAATAGAAAAGAGAACAAAAAATAAAAGAGTTTACCTGCCATACAAGCAGTGAACATCATTTCGTTTTCTGTATTAGAATAATCCAGATCATTCACATTAGTTATCTCATTTGCAAACTGTATTCCACTATAAATGATGAAATATTTTTCACTAAAAATTCAGATTGAAGCAAAAGTTTTTTGTTTACCTACTCATTATTTTCTACAATAGGTAATATACACTTTAAATCGAGACCATCTTCTGTTAATGTTCCTAAATATGCGTACATATTTACTCAGTTATTAAATAAATATTCATTTTATTTAGAGTATATAATTCTGAACATACCAGTCTAGAATATAAACATAATTAAATGAAATATTATATCTATACATTTGTTGTTAATATATATATACCTTATCAAAAACTACCGTATTAATTGATCCACATATATTAATTGTTCGTGGACTTATACAAAAAATATTTAATTTTTTTAAACGATTTTGAGCATAGACCAATCCGGCAGATAAAGCAGCCGGCAAAGCTGGTGGAACAGCAATTGTTATTACATCGAGTGTACGTTTTACTATGTTTAATACGGGTTCCTTACGAGTAACCTAGATGAACAAAATAGAGTAATTTTAATTGATAATAATGATATATAAAAAAAATAAGTATATACACGCGTAATTAACGAAAATATCATTCCGGCCAGAGCGATCAGAGCCATTCCTCCAACGTACTTGTAAGTATCACTAAAATATTAAAATATTGATTTTAATGACATAAAATCAATCAAATAACTTACGTATTAAATTTAAAATCAACTGGTTTTGGATAAAGTATAGATCTTACGAGTTCACCTTTTGCTGTATTAAATGCTAGAATAACAAAACTTTCTTTGCACAATAATGCTAATTATTAAAATGACATGTTACCTGTACGAATAACTATAGCTCTCACCGCTCCTCCGTTATAGTAACGTGTCTGAATTATTTTTGTACCACTGAACAAAATAAATCGACTGTGTTCTCTAACATCAAATGTATTTTTTAATCTATCATCATCCGTTGATGCTTGGTAATAGGGTATCGAAACTTTTGTCACTGGAATACTTTCACCTAAAAAATGCTGTTATATTCACCATCTTGTGAACTATTAAGGAAAAAAAAGATGAACCAAAACGCACCAGTCTAAAATGACAAACAAAAACAATAAATATGAAATATACATATACAGATATACAATAATTCCTACCAACATGCTTTCATCAAGAATAACATTTCCATTCAATAGTACGGCATCACATTGCATAGTCGTTGAACTTTTCACCACAATCATATCACCCGGCACCAAATCCTCACTTGTTACTTCATTTTCTGTAACTAATATGAAATATGAAAAAAAAAATGTTATATGTCTAATATTTTTGTTTTGAAATAGTACGTTGATAACCTTCATCTGTTTCTGAGGAACGAGTGAGCCCCGTCGTTAAGTTTGATTGATGAACAGTATCACGAAGAGCTCTTTCATTCTTATAAACAAAATAGAGACGGCATATATGAAAATATCGATAATTTTTTTCTTCTACTTACTTTTCTTATTTCTCTAAGCGTGTAAATAATTGATACTAATGATATAAGTACAATACAACTAGCATAATAATAATATTCATCACTATACCACAACGTGCAGGAAAATACTTGAAATATATAAAATGGCGATAAAACCTAAACGAAATACGATCTAATAAGAATAACATCGAAGAAGAATTGTTTATTATCAAACCTCTTTAACGATGAGACGATGAAGTGGAGTTAAACGAATACTAATAGAATTTTCACCGTACAATTTTTTTCTAAATGAATACAAAAAAATTCAACACGAAATAGATTCAACCAAATGGAAATATGATAGAAAAAAAAATAATACCGTCGACACTTTTCATCATTGGTAAGTGGAGAACATTCTCGAAAATAATCGCATTTGACATTCTGTTCAATACCTCTAAAATAATAATAAAATAGTTTAACGTCTAAAAGAATAAACAATATTCAATATAAAAATAACTTACAACAATTTTTCAAATTTATATTCACGATCATTCCAAATGTAACGCCATCGTTTATTGATAAAATATCGATATTCAACATTCTACAAAAGAATCAATCGATGATGTATATCATTTTTATTGGCATTGTTATATCACTCTTATTAGCAGTAGTAGTAATAGTAGTATCATCGGCACGGTATAGTTAAGATGTCATTAACAAGAACTCAAGAAAAGAAAAAAAAAAATTTTTTTCGCTACTATTTCTCAGACACAACACTTCATTCATCATCAGTAACGCTTTATCACAAGCGTGCTCATGCTATTATCTTCGTATCCTTATAAATGTTCAACGTTAACCCTTGACGGCTGTTTGGGGATCTAACCGGATCCACCTTGCGTTATACTTAGTAGCGTTACAACTGTAGCGTTATACTTAGGATCTTTTCCAATAGAAACTTCTGTTTTTTTAAACTATAAGTGAATGCATATTTCGGTATGTGTGCGAACATTTGCCGACATGTGTTGGGATGGTCAGGTGAATGATTTCTGCAACCATATTTTATCATTGTACTGTCATAAAATCTTTCTCAGAAAATGTCTTCTAAATCACGTATTTTTGCATACACTTGCACCTGCCAAATATCAGCATATTCATGTCCACAAAGAGCATGATAAAAGCAATCGATCAATACATGAAATGCCTCAATCAAATGGAAAAAATTCAAACTTCTCTTACAGATTCGTCCGTGGGTCCAACCGAACTCTCCGAACAGCTATGAATTAAAAAAATGAGAACAGCTGTCAAGGATTAATGAATTAAAAAAAAGAATAGTAGCAACAAAAGTACTTCTCAGTGTATTATCTAGAATTCGATAAAGATAAAGTAAAGAACATTGCGTAAAACTTGATCCTTATTCTAGTTCTGATACGAGTAATATGTAGTTCGCAATCAAAACTTGTTATCTAAAGTTAATGCTAATTAGTGGAATAACAATGAGATTTTCT